CTCAGGACCTTGCACTTTTGAGGCAGGCTCAGTGCCACTGAGCTACATGCCAGGCCCATAAGCTCCTAACTTGACAACATTATTCAGGTTATGGAAACCTGGGAGGTGGGGCCTTGTCCTGGCTCCAGCCCCTTTGGGCTCCTTGCCTTTCCCCCTTCTCCTTCCTGGCCGCATTAGGGGAGCAGCCCTTGCAGAAAAGGGGCTTCTGCAAGCAGGGGAGCTGGCCAGCCACAGTCTGAAACCGTGAGCCACATTAACTCTTCCCTCCTGTACATTGTTTTTCTCAAATACTTACTCACACAGAGGGGGCTGGAGCAAAGTGGTGAAAGACAGGTGAGTTTTGAACACAGGAGCGAAGTCTGGGGGGCAACTACCAAAATGACAGAGAAAATAGGCCAAAGGGCCAACAACCTGCAGGAGAATATGGCGAGAGGAGGCCTGCAGGAGTGTCCCACCCTCCTAAGTGGCAACTCAATCTCTTCGCCCTGGACCAGGTAAGGCGCTTCCAAGGGTGTAACTCCCAGCACAACCATGGCAACGCATCCCTCTCCCTCCCACCTGAGAAATGCTGCCATGTGCAACCCTCTTCTAAGCATGCCAGTGCGTGGAGTTCATAACCCACAAGAAACGCTTTCACATCTCCTCCAACTTCATCACTTTCTTTGACAGGAGCTTCTTTTAAACCAGGTAAAACAAAACTCTCGGTTGAATCATCTTTGCTCATTCTCCTTTACTTACTCACAAGAAATGTTTTCTTCTATGCAACGAGTATATTTCTTAAAATGGGCAACCAGGTTTCATGAATAATATGAAGGCCATACAAAATGCATTAGATTATGGGAAATAATGATGTACCTATAAAAATGTACACACACACAATTTTGCATTTTCACAGTTCATACACAAGCCAATCCCTCACATAAGTACATGGATTATAATCCTTCCAACCAACCTCTTTACTAATCTAGTTGATGTAACTTTAAGGCCTATAAATCTTGGTTTGTTTTGTTTTTGGTACCAGGAATCAAACTCAGGACCTTCCACTTTCAAGGCAGGTGGCAAAACCACTGAGCTAAATCCCCAGCTCCTGCAAGGCCTATAAATCTTAATAGCATTCTCCTGCCTCCTAATGTATGTGCATATAGATACTTCGCATAATTTAAAGTGAAGAATTAACAGTGTCGATTTATCAAGTTCCTGTTGCTGCTACTTTAAAGTTTCATTGGACAACCCTTGTTTTCAACTGATTGATAGTAAACAATATCATAGGACCATTTTCAGGTAAGCTCGTAATAAAACATTTGGTATAAGTAAGACAGGCAAATAATATCTTACAGGACATAGATGCACTAACTCAAAATACAAAATTAACTTTTTAAAAAAGCTTCAAAATTTTAAGCATTAATTAGAAAAGCATCATAAAAATTTTAAAGTTAGTATGATTTTATATTTTAAAATTTACTATCAAGAAAAACAGGAAAAACTGTGTGCAATTTTTTCATCTGTAACTTTTTGACCTAGTAAGAAAAAAAATCTGAAGAAACAAGATTTAAAACTTTAAGATGAGGGCTGGGAATTTAGCTCAGTGGTTCCGCAGTCTGCCTCGCAAGCGCAAGGTCCCGAGTTCAATCCCCAGTACCAAAAAAAAAAAGCTTGAAGATGAGTTAAAATAATTCCCATGCATTCTGCCGCTTGCCTCAAAAGTGCAAGGTCCTGAGTTCGATCTCCAGTACAAAAATAAATAAATAATAATAATAATTCCCATGCAAACTTTCACTCAAAAAATTCAAACTACTCCTATACAAAAAAACTTGTAACAGGACCAGGGATTTAGCTCAGTGGTTCTGCCACCTGTCTCGCAAGCACAAGGTCCTGAGTTTGATCCCCGGTACCAAAAAAAAAAAAAATTGGGGATGCTGGGGATTTAGCTCAGTTGTTTCGCCGCCTGCTGCGCAAGCACAAGGACCCAAGTTTGATCCCCAGTACCAAAAAAAAAACAAACAAAAAAACCCAAAAAGTTCGTAGGTGGAGACTTCTCCCTGGCAACTGCATGCATTCTCATAACTTAAACACCTATACCACCCAGCATGGTGGTGCATGCCTGCAATCCCAGCAATTAGGAGGCTGAGGCAGGAGGATGGCTGTGAGTTCGAGACTAGCCTGCGCTACGCTGTGAGTTCAAGGCCAGTCTGGACTACATAGTGAGACCCTGTCTCAAAAAAACAAAAAACAAACAAAAACTAAACAAAACAAAACACCTATACCCTGAGGACTCCACCTTTCTCTCTCTCCAGCCTGGGCTGCTTCCTTGAACTCAAGTTCATGGGCCCAGCAGGCAGACAAAGTCACCTCCATGCCCACAGGGAAACTCCTGCTGTTCACTTCCTGTACCATCCCCAACACTCCAGTCCTCTATTTCAAAGAAAACAATTAGGTGGGCGTGGTGGTGCACACCTGCAATCCCAGCACTCAGGAGGCTGAGGCAGGAGGATCATAGTGAGTCGGAGGTCAGCCTGGGCTACACAGCGAGACCCTGTCTCAAAAAACAAACACTGGTTGTATTTGCTGCCAATGATAAAAATGTCAGCTACCATTTCAGTAAAAAGCAACTTCATTCCTCCAGTTACATAGTCTAAAATTCTGGACATCCTGCATCTAACCAAGAGCAAATCCAGTGGGCTTCATCCTCAGATATTTGCAGAACTTGATGCTCCATCCGCTACCACCATCCGGTCCAAGCATCATCAAGTGGAAAGGTCCGCTACCACCATCCGGTCCAAGTGGAAAGGGCCCCACTGTGGAATCCCTGCTTCCTCCCTTGCTCTCCCTAGAAAACAGCAGTCGGAGAGTCTATGGAAACACATATCTGTTACTGTTTCTCAAAACTCACCACAGGCTTCCCAACCCACATGCACACAGGTCAAATTCCTTGATGTGACCAACAAGCCCCTCTTTTTCGCCAGGCATCTGCCCCTCCCCATTTTACCCCTCTAGCCCTCCTTTCCTCTCTCTGCCCCAACTACACTGACCGACCTCTAGGCTGTTCTTGAAGCCACAAGTTCTGCCTCAGGACCTTTGCACCTGATCTCCTCTGCCAGAAATGCTCTGCCCCACACTTCTATATATGGTACTTTCTCACCTCCCTTCTTTGGGTCTATATTCAAATGCTGCCTTCCCAGCTGGGCCTATCTAGCCACTCTAACTAAAATTACATCTCTGTATTCTCTTACACTAAAGTCTACCACTGCATTTTGTACTTTGAATGGCCCTTTTACCTGTGAGTAATTATATATCATGTGTTGATCATTTAGAAAATATTGACTCATGGACTTATGCAGGTCTCTCAAATAAAACATTTCATTATAAAATATCAAAATATTACATCTGTAAATTTTTTTTTTTTTTTGTACCAGGGATCACACTTGGGTCCTTGCGCTTGCGCAGCAGGCAGAAAAACCACTGAGCTAAATCCCTGGCCCCAAACTATGTAAGCTAATTGTTTTTTTTTTGGTACTGGGGATTGAACTCTGGACCTTGCACTTGCAAGGCAGGTGGCAGAACCACTGAGCTAAATCCCTGGCCCCTCACATCTGTAAATATTAACATCAACCTATATGACAGTGGCAGATACAAGTTCTCTGAAAACCTGATTTTCATGGTAAGGCTAAAATTTTGGCAGTATGCGTTGCCAATAATAAGATTTAGCTTTCCACTGAGATTACTTGGTCACTGGTATGCACATTTTAAATTGACAGATTCAACCAAAACTCACCAAAACGTTTGTATCAATCTTTACTATCTAAGGCTGTATAATCATCTCTAGTCAAAACATAAGTAATTCCTTTTTCCCCTTTTCAAATCCTGAATTTGGGAAGATCATAGTGAATTACATTTACCTGCCTAATACTAATGGTAAAATAGAACTAATGTTTCAACGTAAGTAAAACCCAGTACCTAGATTTAATTAGCTGAAGTGAATACTTTCTGTAAGGAAGCAAAATCTCACCTGGGTGTGATGGTGCATGCCTATAATCCCAGCTACTGATGAGACTGGGTCAGGAGATGCCAAATTTGAGACCAGCCTCCTGGGCAACTTAGTAAGACCTAAGACCTTTTATTTTTTTAAATAAGGTCTTACTATGTAGCCCAGGCTGGCCTTGAACTGGAAGCGACCCTCCTGCCTCAGGCTCCCTCAGGCTCCGAAGTATACTGTGATTACAGGCATCCGCCACCACACCTGGCCAGTGAGACCTTTTCTAAAAAGGGCTGGGGATACAGCTAAGTGGTAGACTGCTTGAGTAGCATGTTCAAGGCCCTAGGTTTAACTTCCAGTACTGAAAGTAAAAAAGAAGAAGAAAGTAAAAGCTCAGCCAGGCGTGGTGGCGTGGTGTCATTCCATACAGGGAGGGAGGAAGATGAAAGTGCCATCAATGGAGGGAAGGTTACATAACTAGAAGCTGTGCATCCTCCGGGAGGAATGTTGCTTCCCCACATAGTTCCAAAGTGAAGATTTTCAAGTCCTCCTCCCGCAGTAATTGAAAAGGTCAAGGATATTAGTGTCAACTAGGATCTGTGGTTCTAAACCTTTTGCAGAGCACAAACCACTTTGAGAATATGATGAGAATTCTGCCCAAAGTAGCAAAACATCCACACAGACACTTAGGGTAGGGGGCCGGAACTAAGTATGGATCTTAAGAAACCAATGAAGTCCAAACTCCCAAGGAAAATGACTCTTCCCAAGGAAGAGTAGAATGGCCTGTCCTAGATCATCAGCAAATTAGAAGTGGAACCAGGCCAAAAATAAACTCAAACAAGTTTTGAATAAAGCCATCATTTTCTGGTACAAAACAAGTTCCACCAGGAATTAAGAGACAACTACAGTAACAAAAAAGCTAAGCAGAACTGGAAGGAAGAAGTACTATCATTTCGGGAAGTTCTTTGATGGCCTAAATTGAATGCATAAGGACAAACATGAGCAGAAATCTTAAAAAAGCACTCACCATGTTCCACAAAAACATTGCAGTGTGGACCCCCATGCCTCGATGATTCCTTTTTCCCTGCTCCTTTGATAAAATGCAGGGCAGGCAAACTCGGCCTTCTTTGGTCCCCAAGAACTTTTCCAGGCTGCTGCCCCATAAAGCAATGATAGGTACCCCTTGCCAGAAGAGGGTTCAAGATCTTCCAGAACAGTCAGTGGGCTTTCACATTCACTGCAGCTCCCCAAGACAGCAACTGAGGCTAATCTCAGAAAAATGTCTTCCACAAAAAAAGGGAGCAGAGTTCAGATTGACACATGTAAACAAGAGTTCCAATGATTTCCACAGTGTATCAATTTTAATTACGCTGCAACCCAAAAGTTTCTTGATTTTAAGTATACTGTACGTACTGAGTTTCTTTCTCGAGAAGAAAAACTTAAACCGAAATATTCACAGGGGTTGCTGAAAAGTACCAAGGACACTAAATTCATTTCTATTCCCAAGCATAAAGGAAACGTTGACCATCTTCAGATGCTTCTCCAAAACTTTTCCTGTGGAAGTCACCATTCCCCTATCTTGGTTTCTCCACCCTAGCTGCTCTCCGGAAGAGGACACAGGTCACTCAGATTTCACAGAAGCTTGCTCTCCAGTCAGACTGGGCAGGAATGCGTTGCCAGCAACTTTTAAGTCCGCTTTTTAAAAGGCCTGTGAAACCAATCCAGACTTTTCCTTTCCATTAAAGTTTGTGGCTTCGCTGAGTCCAGGGGGGCCGTAGGTGACATTGGAAGAAGTCAGGGCATTACAGACTCGCGGGAATAATCTGGGGGACAGGGGAGGCCACTTGACAGCAGGAAGGGATTTGAATGGGGGGTTCTGTGGCCAAACTTGGGGCCGGGATCCGGAGCAAAAGGCGGCTCGCGGGGGAGAGGAGGCTGCCGGGACGGGTCATGGGGGGCTTACTCGGGGGTCGACGCTCCTCCAGCCTCAGGAAACGGGGTGTCCCAGGTCGGGGGAAACTGAGACCACCCTCGGTGTCCCCGATCCGGGACAGGGGTGTAAGGGACGAAGGTCTCTCGCGGCCCCGAAATCAGGAGGCCGTCACAGGGGAGAGGAGGCCCGGTCGCCTCCGCTGCCCGCAGCCCAGGGGTCTCGGTCCGAGACACCCCCTCCCCCGGCTCCGGACGCCCCCACCGCCGCGGCCGAGCAGTTACATCCCCCGAGCTCCGCCGAGGCACCCAGCCTTCCCCCTGCCAGCAGAGGCCGTGGACCACCGAGGAGCTCGTCCGCCGCAGGACGGGAAACCGGCTCAGGCTCCGGCGCCGCTCAGGGACAGACACCGAGCCCCTCAGCCGCCATGATGGATTACGAGCCGCTCCACAACGAGGCCAGGCCCCGCCCCCGGCCCCGCCCCCGCGACGTTAGGAGCCCGCCTCGTGGGGACCCGGACACCCCCGGAGCCCGTTTCCCGGGACGTCGCCGCGCCTGCTGGCTCTGGTGTCACCGCCTGCGACAGCCTAGGGCCCGCACGACCTTTTATGTGTGGCTTTTCAGAGCGCAAGGTGAGCGGTAAGGAAGCGCCCGCCTCCTCTGCACTGCTATTGGCCGGTAGGAATCCGGCTCAGTCCCCTCTCCTCCTTCCCATTGGTCGGAGTGAGCAGTAGGGCGAGTGCTGCCAGCCAATTGCCTTCGGCGCCGCCGCGGGGCGTACCGGGAGCTGTGGTCCTCACAGCCCCGGGTCTGGCTCCTGAGCGCCCGCCCCGCCCTCCTGGGAGCCGGTGGATTCTCGCCGGCTTCGCGTCGGGTCGGCCACTGTCTCCCAGGCACTAGCAGTGAGACTGACAGAGAGCCAGAGCGAGGGCAAACTGTGGATCGGATTTTCCCAGACCCGGAGTTGGAATACTTCAAGCCTCTTTAAGGGGTAAAATTTGGCCCGCGGGGGATATAGAAAGCAGGTATCCGACTGTTGCTAACGAAGTCAATGGCTTGTTTGGGGGAATACCGGGAAAGAGCAATAGCGTTTGTTCGCAGCACAGGTGCAACCCTAGTAGATGTTTGTGTTAGAAGGAACCTTTAACATTGCACAAGTGAACACACATTTGCACAAACACACCCTTGATGTTAGCCGAAGAAATGTCCACTTTGGGGTTTTGTAGCACCTTTTGTAACTCAACTTCTGCAACTAACAAGCATCTGGTCTCCTATTCTTAACTCTCCCCACACCCCTAGTGCAGAATCTGACCCGGATACACCCACTGCTAAGGACCGATCTCACTTAACACTGCAGCCCAGTTAGGCCTGGACCGGGAGTGATATTCCTCTTCTCAGGTGGGGGGGTCACTCGACCACTGTGTGACAGTCACTACCACCCGGCCTGACCTTGCTTCAAAACCCATGGTTTTTCTTCTGCACCATCCAGTATCAAGTAACTCGAATTAATGTCCGACAATTTATTTTTCACAAGTTGCTACTGATATCAGAGGGCACCGCTGCTGCAGAGTGTTACACATTCAGCTAAGTATTTCGGAAATATTCCTGCTGGACTAAGACACGGCATTAGCCATAACAGTACAAGTAGCAGAGGAAATAGTCACGTGGAGATATGAATGTGAAGTATGATGAAAACTTGTGCACAAATTTGGAACTGGGATTTCCAACTTCAATGCCTTTTGTTCCTCTTTATTTATCCTGATTACTGCTCTAATTTTTGTTTTGAAGACGTTACTCTTTATTCCTATTTATGCTTTATTAATTTCCTCACATCTGATTTTAGTTTTCTTTCCAGTACTAGAGATTAAACCCAGAACCTCATACACACTCGGGAAGGACTGTACCACTGAGCTGCATCCCTATCCAGACATCTGCATTCTTTATTCTCTGGTTTAGCTTAGAATTGAGCAAGAAAATCAGGTATTCATTGTAATACACACTTCTTGTGCTGGGATACAGCAGCTAGGGGGAAAAGCACTTCCTCACAAGCATGGAGCACACACAGAGAAAGGGACAAGCAAATAAAAAAAACCAAGTAACAATCCAAGGAACAATTTCCAATGCTGGAAATTAAATTTCTAGATCCATAACCTTTCCTCATCAGCCCAAGTGTCCTCCAAAGGACACCTTTACGACGCCTCCTGGAGCTTCGGTCTGCTCCTGACTCACCGTTCTTTACAGGCTTAGTCAAGCCAGTCACCTTACTTTGCTGAATTGATTTCTTCACCTATAAGTAGGATGTCATGCTGCTTACTTTATTAGGTCACCATGAGGATGAAAGTGGACTTGATCTTAGGCAAAAGATATGCAGGCCCTGGAGCAGTCAGCTGTACTTGACTCATCCCTAATCTCGTTTTCACTCCTGACGTTCCTAGTTCTAGGTGACCCAATCCCAGGCTGTATTTTTTCCAAGACACGTAGTATACATTTTTAATCCCTGTTTAACACTGGAGAATACTTTGAAGGACTTAAAACTAGAATCCAGAGCAGAGCAAATGCCTGATAGAATGTTGCCTAAATCTCTTAAACTTTTCTTAAAAGTGATTCAGTTTGGTCTAATTTTGTTCTTTTATAAAGCAAAGTTCAAGTGGTGTAAATACCTGTTTAAGGTCTCACACCTACTACAATGACTTAACAAGGGCGCCCTCTAGTGGGCCATGGGAAGCAAGTATTCACCACAAGATGCTCTCAGACTGTTTCCACTGGGTAACTAATAAGAGAAATCACTACCGTTCAGAAACTGAACGAAGGGCCCAAGCCAGCAGCTTAGGAGAGCCAGACGAGGAGGATACAGGAGCTTGGGTGGGACTCAGGCTCCCACTCATTGGCATTCTCTTCTGTCAGGAGATATTTCACCCTGGGAAATGTTTTCAAGAATGACAGGGGAGCCAACCCCAAGTCACGACAGAGAATATTGTGCTGTCTGCAAATTCCTCAAAATAGGTGCCACACGGGATACAGCAAAAGTGAGATAAGTGAGTAATGTTATAGAGAAACATGCCATCCAATGACAAAGGCCAAACCGTATTTAAAAACTGTCAAATGCAGTATTCAAAGTTACTCCTGCTGCCAAGAGTGGTGGGTGGCACACACCTGTAATCCTAGCACTTGGGAGGCTGAGGCAGGAGGATCGCCTCAAGTTTGAGGCCAGCCTGAGCTACACAGTGAGTTCAGGGTCAGCATGGACTACATGGCAAGAGCCTGTGAAGAGCCAAGTAGAATAGGAGATCCCCAGCCAGAAGGCAGTTATATCTGAGTCCTCCTTAAATGGTATCCAGCTATTGCCCAGATTACAAGAACAGAAACCAACTTGAATACACTGGAAATATCAAAAAGTAGTTCACCAGAGATGTAAAATAAAACACATTTGCATATATGGTGCCTTTAAAAGACTGTTCCCAATATCTAAGTCAGGGCACCATTTCTAAAGTCATTAGAAATACAACACACAGGAATACTAGCATTCCTCGGTGAGAACTTCAGTATTTTGCTTTCATCTTTTTTTTTTTTTTTTTGGTACCGGGGATCGAACTTGGGTCCTTGCACTTGCGCGGCAGGCGGCGAAACCACTGAGCTAAATCCCCAGCCCTTTGCTTTCATCTTTAACCCTAATTGTGAATGTGTCCTACTTCAATTAGGAAAGGAAAACAGCTTCGCATTTCCCATTTTTCTCACTGTTTTCTTCACATTTATCAGAGCACCCAAAAGTACAATGGGCCCAGAACATTCATTTTCTCTGTCATCAGAACTTAGCTTCTTACAAGCCGCCCTCCCCCTGGAAGGCAGCGCAGGCTCAGGCAGCCCAGTGCGGGTCCCTCACACCTGTCATTCAAGGATCGCACGTGAGGAATGAGATTCCAACCAAGCAAAGGCTGCCAGGTTAACTTTATTCTTCCATTCGTCTGCCAGGTTAACTTTAGCAACTGTACACTCCCCGGTCACACTTGCGCCTTAAAGAAGGTGGAGTGGAGGCCCTTTGGGGGTCAGGGATGCCACGTTTTCCACCAGGGCAATTTCACGGGCACTGTGCCTCATGAGAGAGGGAGGACAAAGGAATCTCCGTGTTATTCCAGGAGGGGCAGCCACTCGGCTGGGACACTGAGCATCCAAAAGACCTGAAATGACTTTCTTCAGCTAGGACTTACCAGGCCTGAGGGGCTGGAAGCACTGCTCCTCGCCAGGCCCCTTGTCCCAGAAAGGGAGAAAGCAGGCCTGGCCTGGGGGCTTGGAACAGATGAGTCCTGAGTCTGTCGGATCCTCCCTGGGCTGCGTGTGGGGACCACCAAGCAGACTCTCCGCTGGCCAGAACGGCTCCAGCAAGGCAGTCCCATGCCTGGGAGCCTCTCCTCAGCCCTCCTGCTCTAAAAGCCTCTGGCGTGTTTCCAGCACAATCTCCTCCATTACTTCCGGCTTTAAGATGTCTTTGATCTGAAAAAGATGGAAGATAAGGTGTGTGACAATGAAGATATCAGCCAGAAGCAGACCAGCAGACCAACTGAAATACAGAGCCCAAGCAAGGTCAACATCGACCTTCTGGGCTCTGTCCCCTCACCAGAGGATAGAGTACAGCAGGTAGGACCTGCCAGACCCAGCTTAAGGAACCAGCAAGGTTCCCTGGGGTGGAGCTGACAAGAACAAAGATATTATTCTGACATTCATTAAAAAGACGGCTGGAATTTGGGACAGAGAAGACCAAGTCAAGAGGGCTGCTGTCTGTCACAAAAGAGTCCCACCAACACCCCCAGCGCCACCCAGAACCCTCAGCCCAACACTGGACACTGAGAATACTCCAAGTTCCTGGGGACAGACCTCCCCCTCCCCTGAGGGACCTGGTAAAAGTGCTTGAGACATGCGACTGCAACCCCGATGAGACCCACAGGGCTGCACCTGATGTGGAAGGGAAGCCTCGTAGCAGTACAGAATGCTGGTGTCGTACAGCATCATCCTCTGAGTCACAAGTGAGACCACGCAGTTGCGCAGCCGGGACATCACCTCTCGATCAGCCAGCGACACTGGCTGCAGGGATGTGGAAGGAAGGGAGGGGAATTGCAAACAGCACCCAAGAGTCATCCCAGTGCATCACAGAAAAGACCTTTCATGACTCGACGGCCTTGCTCTGGGACTCCATGGGAACAGACGGCCTGCTCTGAGAAGACAAGAGTGTGGCTTCCTCCAGGGCTGTTTGGCTGTTGCCCTGCACCTTTGCCACCTCTGCTGACAAAGACAAGCCAGTCCCCAGTTGGAGAAGAAGGAAGGCAATTCAGCTGTCATGCCACTGCTTGATGGAAATCCAAACTCACTTGGGCTGCAGCAGTGACACGCAGTCTGACACTGCACACTGACACTTTATAGTCACTGGCGGACCAGACAGCGCTGGTCTCCTACAATTAAAGCCCCTAGCAACGCTCTTAGTTTGTAAGCGCTCTCTCTACGCAATGACAAAGTCACCTAACACCAACATCTCAGAACAGGTCCTGGTCGTTAAATGGCACAACACTGTAGTTTAAAAAACAGCAAATTCCAACCCGGCCACGGTGGCATGTGCATGTAATCCCAGCTACTCGGGGGCTGAGGGAAGAGAGTCGGAAGTTCAAGGCCAGCCTGGACCACTTAGACAGACCCCGTCTCAATATTAAATTGGCTAGGAGCTAGCTCAGTGCAAGGCCCTGGGGTCCAATGCCAGTACCAAAAAGGAAAAAAGGGAAAAAGCAACAAATCCTGCCTGTGCCCAAAGCACGGCAGTGGTGCTTCCTCACCTCCAGGTTTGCAATGAAGCCCCCTGCATCTTCCTCTTTGTGCTCTGGGGTCGGGTAGATCCAGATGAAGCCGTTGTTGCCCAGGATCACAGAGGCACCGCACGGCAAGTCGTGGAAGTGAGTCTTCTGCCGCTTCACCAGGGAGGGGGAGACCTGGACTAGAACCCCCTGGCCTAGCTGCAGAAACAGCATGGGCAGTGTCACTGTGCACGCGGCCTGATTATGCCAAGCAGATTACCGAGTACACACCCGCTCACAGTGAGCTTGGCACACTTTCTGTTTATCGGCCGTCCCCACATATGAACAGAGCCTGTATACATTCGTGCAGAAAACATTTCCGGATTCCCCAGGCTGTTCACACATCTCAAAGGGCCACTATTGTACCCTTCTGTCACTTCCTACCATCATGTGCCAACCCAGGGCAGCTGTCAGAAAGCTCCAGAGCACTCCCTCTGGACAAGGACACCGTCCTGTCCCATGAGCCAAGCTCGTCCCCTTCACCCGAAATACCCATCCTGGGAAGAACTGGGTGTGAGCCAGGGCCACATCCAGCAAGGAAGGGTCTGCAGCCCCACCCGAGTGTCAGCACGCACGGTGCGGCACATCAACTTCCAGCACACGAACACGGGTGGCTGCCGCCCCTCCACCAAGGGAAGAGCTTTCCCTAAAGAGTCAAGAAACTAGAAGCTTTCGGGCTGCAAAACCTGGCCTTGACAGTGTAAGCTCACCCAGAGCAGCGGAATTTCATTTAGAGACTCAGAGGATGACCCTGTCTTTGCTGGCAACACAATCCACTTCACTGACCAGGGTACTGACAGGGCTATGGGCAAAGACTGCATCATGCCCCGGGGAGAGGGGGACGGCAGTCATGGCCCCAGGCAGTGAAGGGTAAAGATGCCCCTTCCTCCAGCTGAGATTGGGGAAAACCACTGGGCCAGGAGATCCCAGCTGTGGGTCCTCAGGTGCCAGGGTCAGCATGCCAGGGGGCTCCGGGGATGCGGAAATGGACCAGAAGCCTTGGTTGGCAGGCACACAGCAACAGCAAGGCGGGACTTACTTTTCCATATTTCAGGCTCCTCGTGTGCAGAGAGACTGCTCCGTCGGAGAACACTGCCTGGACCTCGGCCTGCCCAGGCCGGTGAAGGAGCAAACCACAGGCTCGGTGCCCGCTTTCACATCCAGCCTCCCTTGCCTGCCTAGTCCCACCCCGTCACCAGCCGTCCACCCTGGATCCTAGGTGGCTAAGAGCACATGGATATGACCACACCTTTCCCTTGGATGGCATGGAAACAGCTTTTCTGCTCCCTGGGATAAAATTCAACACAGGCTACCAGGAGTTATGTGACCCAGAGAAAGGTCCACAGCAGAGCCCAGATACATGACCAGGACTCAGGGCCAAGAGGATGACAAGTTCCTCTGTCGCAGACACAAGCACGAGCCCGCCCCGCCCTGGTGCAGGATACACTGATGAGGTCCCCTTCCTGCAGGAAACCTCGCATGGCCAGCTCGTCCTCTGCAGACCTTCTCCTCTGAAACACACACAGACAATGGTGTCAGGCTGATCCCCGCAGACCTCCTCACCTCTTCCCACCGCTTGTGTCTCGGTCACTTCCTCGGATCTTTGCAGCCAATCGTGCTACTCAAACCCTAAGAACTATGGTAAGAGGGGCAACCGAGGCACCCCGACTTTCCATCTGCAAGGCCCTCTCCCCCACCTCCGTCCTCCCTGCTGAGGAACATTCAGGCGTCCTGCCTGCTCCCCCAAACCCTCCCAGGCTCCCCAGGCCGCCTTGTTTGCTGTGTCTGCTCCCACGCTTCGCTTCCTCTCCGAGTCCCTGGGCTCATTTAAATTCTCTCCACCCTCAGGCATCAAGTCTTGCATGTGTGATTTTTTTCACTGAAATCAGTCACTCTTTGTAACACATGCTTGTTTACTCTGCTGCTGCCAGGTATGTGGTTGGGTCGTCTCCCACCCCTGCTGGTCTGCAAGCTCCTGGGGAGCTCCACGCGCAGCCTCCTCCAGGCTCCACAGCCCAGCACAGCGAGCCTCTCTGAGCACACACTGGGCTGAACCCTGCCCTGTACAGAAGGCTGCGGCTGAGGCTCTGGCATCATCAAATGCCAACCAAATCACAAAAACGAATCTAAAGACAACTTTTCAGGGACACCCACCGTGCAGAGCTGATACACCCAGAAAAGGAAACTTGCTAGCACCAATATCTAAGTCGCCTCTCCCCAGCACTCTTCTGAGATCCCGTCCCAAGGCCACTTCTGATCCTACCGCACACCAGTTGCTGCCTGCGTTGAGACCTGGGCCAGGTGTACACGCAGGCAGCAAATCTCATCACAGAGTAACAGGCGCAAGCTCAGCATCAGGCAGAGTTCTCAGGGGCAGCGAGGGCGCCACAGCTCAAGCCAGCCAGCAGTGAAGTTCAGGACCCAGCCAGACCCTTACCAGCTCTCCACCCGGAAGGTTCATGGACGAGAGCAGCAAGACGGAGTCCAGCCTGGAATTGGTATCCACCTTCCACCGCTTCTGTTGAACCTGCAAACAGAAAGGTCCACACCTAGACACACGCTCCAGGGGAAGAGCTCACATGATAAGGGACCAACAGCCAGGCCTGGTGGGCATGCCTGTAATCCCAGCACTGGGGGGGCTGAGGCAGGAGGATGGCCAGGAGTTCGAGGCCAGCCTGGGCTACACAGTGACAGTGAGTTCAAGGCCAGCCTGAACTGCATAGCAAGATCCTGTCTCCAAAGGGACGGGGGTGGGGGTGGGGGGGAGTCAATAATCCCAAATATAACAAGCTAGAGGTCACAAAGCAGCCCCATGTAATGAATGCCTTTTTAACACAGCTACATGTAGACCATCTGCCCCACTCCTTACGTCATCAGCGGCCTTCACTTTGTACAGACTGATCTGACTCCAACTTTACCTCCGTGATTCTCCCCACTACAATGTCTCCTACTTCACCGTTGTACCTGGAAGATAAAACAAAAGGTCACCCTTGGAGATTTCAGTTAAATGGGACGAGGGACCTGAGGACGGTCCACGCTTAGCAGACTGATGTAACTCCCCTGCGTGGCCTTATCCTCAGACACTGATGCCGCCAGCATTCCTGCCTGGACAGTCTCCGCCAGCTTTCCTTACACTAGCCGCTCACTGCAAGTGGTTCCCTTAGTCAGCATACCTGTTCTGTGGGGTTCATGACAGCAGAAAGCCTGGGGTGTTTTCCTGTGGAACACAGATGGGCTCTGCACCGACCAAGGGAAAGGAAGAAGGTTGAGCCGGGCCACCATTCAAGGGGCTCACTGCTCACTTGCTAGGCCCTGGTTCCTTGTTCTAATTCAAAGTCTCTTTTCCAGCCCTGCTCACCCCGTGCTGAGCTCATCTGATTCAACAGCTTTAAAATACCAGATTCCACTCCACTAGCTCCTGCTGCTGCCACTTAGATGCCTCGAGGGCATTTTCAAACATGGGCCCAAAAGGAAGCTTCCCAGCAGCCCCTGCTCCTCTCCCTGTCATCCCCAGCTCAGGGAATGATGACCCCATTCCCCGGGGTGCTCAGGTCAAAAACCCTGGCGAGTCACTCTTGATTCCTGTCTCCGGCTCTGGGACAAGTCCAGCAGCAAATCCTGTGGGCTTTCCCCTGAAAACATATACAGGAAATAAAAAGCATCCAAATCAGAAAGGAAGAAGTAGAACCATCTCTACTCACAGAGGACTCATGGTCCTGTGTATAGAAAACCCTAACTGGGTGTGGTGGCGCACGCCTGTCACCCCAGCACTTAGAAGGCTGAAGCAAGAGGATCGCCATGAGTTCCAGGCCAGCCTGAGCTACACAGTGAGTTCAAGGCCAGCCTGAAGTACACAGTTAAGACCCTGTCTGAAAAAGCACAAACAAAAACCCCAAAGAATACAAAATCCAATATTCTTTTATGATTTAAACAAAAACAAACACGCCCCACTTAGTCCAAGGTGTCATCACTGCAGATGATGAATATGGTTCCCTACACTAACCCCATCCCTTCCGACTCCCCTCAGCAGCCAGAATGACCTGATTAAAACCTAAGTCAAGGGGCTGGGGATTTAGCTCAGTGGTTCCACCGCCTGCTCCGAAAGCTCAAGGACCTGAGGTCGATCCCTAGTACCAAAAAAAAAAAACCTAACTCAAGCCAGGCACTTGCTCTTGTAGTCCCAGCTACTCAGGAGGCTGAAGCAGGGGGAATCGATTAGGTCCATAAGTTCCATCCAGATCAGCCTAGGCAACATAACAAAACCCTGTCTCAGACAGTAAACCCCTAGGTCAGATCACAGCCCTCCTGTGCTCCATCCCTTCCGGTGACCCCAGATCTCACAAAGCCAAACACCTCATGCTTACCATGGCAGGCAACTATTCACCCCTGCTCATCCCTCATTCACTCTGTCCCAACCCACAGTTCCCTTCGTGGCTAACCTTTATGACCACAGCTAGGTCCTCTGCCCTGTGTTATACTTCGCCCGTACCACCTCTGAATTCTAACAGATCCTCCAAGACAGGTCATGGTTCCCCTCACACCGAGGAGGCGGTAACCAAGTCTCAGAGCAGGCAGGTGACACAGGGAAACTCTGAAGCCGGCACTGATTTCTCCCACCCTTCCTGTAGTCGCAGTCACAACCCCAGACCTACAACAGGACAGGGCAGGCGGTGATACCCACAGAATACACACCTTCTCTCCTCACCTGGTTTTCAAGGCTTTCACACAGATCAGCTTGTTTACTCTCTCCACAGAGCCGGCCACAGATGCGATGAGCTTCTCTTCCCCCATGTACGTTCCATGGCCGCTGCGGCAAGAGAAGGACACAGCGAGCTGCTATCAGTGTAACGCCCGAGGGACCGCAACCATCTGGAACAGTGTGCCCGAGCTCAACAAGCTGCACCTGCCCGAAAAGCCAGGCGCACTTTCTCCTGGGAGCTCGGTGGACATCTCCCTTGTCTCACTCGAAGCTGCTCGTCTTTCCCCAGCAGCACGTCCCTTCCCAGGCCGCCATTCCCACCATGTTCTCCCACACTTGTTTGCCCACTGCATTTATCATCAATGTTCTGAATAACTTACAGTATTTATTTGACTCTCTTCCTGTTAGAACATAAACTCCACTAGAACAGACTCACTTTGTTCACTAGTATACTTCAACCATACAAAACAGAAATGTATATTGAAAGGATGAGTGAATGAATGAGTCGTGTGTGTTACTAGGGATTCAATCTAGAGACCCTGTCCCCCCCAAAACGATCTGGACTTCGGGCAGAGGATCCAAACCACGGTCGGAAGAAATCAGGAGGGTTCGGGCCCTAGACGAACTCGCTAGACGCAGGGACTGCGGGGGACGCGGCGACTGGGATGCTCAGGAGATGCGCGAGGCCCCCCGGAGACTTAAACACGAGGGGAACAGAGGCCTGGGTTTCCGGCCAGCAGCCCACGTGCAGAGCCCCACTGCCGCGCCGCTCCCTGTGTCCTCGGGCCCCCAACTTCCCACGTACCGCATGAAGCCCGTGTCTGTAGTGATCGTGTCCCCCGGCACCACCAAGTGTTTCTTAGTATCGCGCCCCAGGGTCTCACTGAGGGGTTTACGCGCCACCGGAAGCCTCATCTCCATCGCCATCTTGGCGCCAATAGTTTGCGCAGGCGCAGCTCGCCCGCCACGCCCGCGGACGCTCGAAGGGGGCGGGGATTCGGAGCAGCCGCCAATGGGAATTCACGGACTGGAGACCATGTTGACTATTGGCAACCATGAAGTTTACTTAAAAGGAAGGAAGGAGCCGAGTTGCCATGTTTACTATTGGCAAGGCAGCTCTTGTGGAATAATACAATCTAAAGTTGGAGGGTGTCTGGCTTTTTACCAAACTGCCTCCTACTGGAACCTCCTCTCAGTGTCCGTCCAACTCTAAGCCGCTATGATCTGACATTTTGTGCGACAGCGCTCAAGGGGTTGGGCGTGGGGGATCTGCAGAAAACACTGTCTGAACGAACAGAAAGGAGAGCCCTTTGCCTACCGTCCCAGTGGGAGCCCCAGGGTTCTGCAACACAGCCACCAGCTCCACCCCGCACAGGGCTCCGGATGCCTCCCCTCGCCCTGCCAGGTTTACAATAAACTGAATTTCAACCTCAGGGAATTAAGATAGTTCTCCGCGCAGAGGGGCTCTAAATAGGAGTAAGTGAAATAACTTGCATCGACCACACCTGCTACAGACCTCTTATCGGGAAGATCAAGCCGGGTGCCTCCTGAACACCCATCAGGCCTTCGTTTCATAAATCTCCAAAACGACAGCTTTCCCTTCACCTAAGCAAGACTCACATCTACGCTGTCAAGAAAGCCAACCCTGCCAGGCGGTCGGTGACAGAAGTGCTGGCGTCCGAAAGGTCCCCCAGTAAGCAGGCAGCCAGACCTCGCCTCCTCCCTGCCTGGAGGAGGACGCAGCGCCGAGAAAGTCAGGGAATGGCTCATCTGGTGAGTTGGGCTGTGGCCATAAGAGGGCGACCGTGTCCTTTGAGCCAGCATAGCCCAGCCAGGCAGCTAAGGAGCCAGACCTCAGGAGTGTCTCTAGACCCACGCCCGGGACTTATAATGATGACTTGTTTACACAGGAGGAAATCGAAGCCCCAGAAGGACCAGCATTCACAGCAGCTGATCTCGGAGGGGCCAATGCTGGTCACACCAGCTCCCCAACCTCCCAGCCTGCGCTGCTTACCAAACCTGCCTGGGTGCTTTACTGGTCCTTACTGAGTGCTTTACCAACATCCTGTTATTTATTCCTGTCCAGGATGTGGGCCTGGGCGCTCCTGGTGATGATCACTTCCGGGCCACTGAGCCCCCCCAGACAGACCTGAGCTAGGACTAGAATCCAAGACTCCAGATACCCAGGCCTGCGCCCCTCTCTGCCCCGTGGACAGGAGTGGGCACCAGAAGCAGCTGTGTGTACCAAGGGGGGCTGTTACACAGACGGTTTCCGAGCCCAGAGGTAGGCCCTGGGGCTCTAGAGAGGCAGCACCGGAAGTCTGCTGTGATACCAATGGCTGACCAGGTCTAGCACCCACCAATTATTTCCACATCCACGTGTCTCCCCTGCCACCACCTCAGCCCAATCAATGTCATTTATTACTAGGGCAACTATAATGACTCCTGGCTCATCTCCCCAGTTTTACATTACACACACACACACACACACACACACACACCCCACCCAAACTCCATACAGCAGCCAGAGGGAGCTCTTTGAAGCAGATCACCTTAAATCATGTCCCTGCCTAAAACTTTTTTTGCGCTTCTCCTTACTCTAAGAATAAATCCGAACTCATCACCTTGCCTGTCTCAGCCTCCCTCTAGGCCTGACTGGCTCCCATGACTCACAGGCAGTAGCCACTGGCCTCCGTCGGTGCCACCTACACCACACTGCCCGCCAACTCTGGCTGCCAAGATTGGCTCTTGGAGCTCTTCCTGCTTGCAGTCTCCTCTCTGTGTCTTTGTGGGGCAGCTCCTGGTCTCCACTCACACCTCGCTCAAATATCCACTTCCAGAGAAGGCCTCCTTGACCTCCTTATCTGGAATAACTCTCCAGTCCCTTTCCCACTGCTTAATCCTATTTTATTTCTTGTCACTGACTTCTCTTACTTGTTTAGGGCCATCTGAAAACTAGTGCTTCATCTGTTTTGTTCAGTATGTCTCAGCTCTTAGAACCACATCTGGCCCAGAGAGGGCCATAAAGTATTTGTCGAAAAAAATAAGATACAGCAGCCAGATGTGGTGGTGCACTCCTGTAATTCCAGCATGCTGGAGGCTGAGGCAGGAAGATTCCAACTTCAAGTTTCTCCTGGGCAACTAAGTGACTTACTGAGATCCTGTCTCAAAATAAAAAGTTAAAAAAGGGGGGGATGAGGATGTAGCTCAGTGCCAAGGTCCTGGGATCAAGTCCGAGTCCTGCCTCCCAAAATATATGCATTTACAAAATATATATTTGTTTATTTATTTATCAGTGGTCTCCTCTACATGATGAGCCCCACAAATACCTAGACTTAGTCTTTTGGGGGACCACTGGGAATTGAACCCAGGGGTACTCTATCACTAGCTTCATCCCCAGCCCTTTTATATTTTATTTTGAGACAGATTCTCGGTAGGTTGCCCAGGCTGGCCTTAAACATGCAATACTCCTGCCTCAGCTTCCCAGGTAGCTAGGATAACAGGTGTGCACCACCACCCCAGCCAGACTCGGTCTATTTTGTTCCTTGGCCAGTTCATAGAACTATGTATGATCCAGTGTAGGCCCTCCTATTAGCCTTGCCTTTGATTTTCTATGTTCAGCCTTGGGGCCTGGCTGTCCGTGAAGGGACCTTCCCTTCCAGGGTTAACCAAATCCTAGTGTCAGTAAACGACTCACCTGAGACCAAGCCTTTCACATGAAGACCACCCAATGCACAATTCACACTCAGCACCTCCTTTACTGGCCTCTCGCTGCTCTGCCTCCGGTTTCTAGGGACCTTTCTATATAAACAGGTTCTTTCTCCGGAACAGCCATTTTTGTGCCTGCTTGACTTGCAATATCAGATTAAAACAAACCCTAGGAGCTGGATGTGGTAGAGCATGTCTGTCATCCCAGCACTCAGGAAGCCGAGGCAGGAGGATCAACATGAGTTGAAGGAGGGCCTGAACTACACAGCAAGACCTTGTCTTCAAAAGCAAAAACAAAAACAGGGTCTTGCAATCTCGGAGGCTGAATCAGGAAGATCACAAGTTTGAGCTCAACCTGAGCAACTTAGCAACTTAGTGAGACCCTTAGTGTTTCAAGTTATAAAATGAAAAGGGCTGGGGATGGAGCTCCATGTGCAGGCCCTGGATTCCATCCCCAGTCCCACTCCCTACAAAAGGAACTGGGGATCCGGGTCTCCCTGCCTTGGGTCTGGGCAGGTTTGGGGACCACTTTGGCAGGTGGCACGTGTCCGAAGAGCCTCTGAGTGGCTTCCAGGGCTGGGCCAGCATGGACCACGCAACTGCCAGTGGCTTCCCTGGGGACACTCGCTTCTGTGCTGACATGAAGAAGCCTGGCGATGCTCAGCTGTCCTGGACGGGGCACCTCGACTCACCAACCACTTCCAAGACTTCCCCCACCCACCAAAGATGCACATCCCACAGGCTAGCTCAGAGGGGGAGGGAGGAGGGGAGCGGCAAGCTCAGGGTGTCTGTTCCTCTAGTTCAAAGGAGCCAAACACTGAGGAGAGAGAGAATGGTTCAGGAGAGGCGCAGTGGGTGCCTCGGGTTGTCCTGTGAGTTGCAACCCTTCTCGCCAATCAAAAGCAAACTTGTATTAGCAAAGCTCCCATTTATTGAGCATGTACTAAGTACCAGGCACGGAGCCATGTGCTGTACTTGTTTATATCCACAATCCCATTTGGTCCTCAGGTGCAGCTTCCGGGATCAGACACCAGGGGTGGAGCCCTGTTCTGCCGCACACTGGGCAAATGACTTACTCCCACTCTGTGCCTCAGTTTCCCCGTGCTTCAAAAGAACATTAAATAAAAGAGCAACAGGGCCCGGGGATTTAGCTCAATGGTGCTGCTGCCTGCCTCACAAGGGCAAGGTCCTGAGTTCGATTTCCCGTGCAAACAAAAGGAGCATCAGGAAAAAGGAGAGACATTGCATCAGTTTGTGGTGTGTGTGGAGCATTGCTGGAATGCATGTGTTTACGTCCCTAAATCCAGGGCTGGGGCACAGAAATTGCTACCAAGGATGGCATGCCTTTGGGGCTGTGTCCTGGAGGAAGCGGTCCAAGGCTTCTGCTAAAAATGCTCGGAAGTAAGAGGTTAGGAGGAGGAGTCTAATGTGGCTCACAGTGTGAGGGGGTTCGGCCCATGGTCAGGGGCTTCAGGACAGAAATATTGTGGAAGGCGGTGTGGGAGCTCAGTTCACAGCAGCGGGGAAGAAGAGCAGAGAAACAGCGTCAGAGAGGAAGGGGCAGGGACCAGACACACCCAGGACACACCACGTGTTCTCACCCTTGGGTCTCAGCGCCTAGTTGAGCGGTTGGCACGGGAGGCTGCGCGCTGCTATGAGTACTCCTGGTATAAGCGGCACGCCCGAGTCTCCGGCTGCAATTACCGCGCACAGCCACCAGGTGGGTTCTGGAGCCCTATGATCTGCTAGCGGGGACTTCTCAAAATTGAATCAACCATTTAATTTTTGTTCAAAGTCCACAGGGGCATGGAAGGTGGGGCGAGGTTTGGGAGGGAGGGAGGGAGAGTCCCAAGGAGCGAACCCTGGGCCAGGCGCAAGATGATCTTCAAAGACAGGCCGAGGGCACGCGCCCCAGCGCGCTCCCGAGGGTCCGCGGAGGTGCGCGCGTGTGCACGAGTTCACGACCGGAAGAAGGAAGCGAGCCGGAAAGCTAGCCCCCCAGGTGGGGACCATCTCGGCTGGCACATGCCGAGAACGGGGCTGACTCACGCTCCCCGGCCTGCACAACTCCTACAGGCCGGCAGGTCCAGGAGAGAGGACAGCCAGAGCCGAAGCCCTCGGCGCCTCCGCTTGGTCCTCTACAGGTCCCCAGAGCAATAAGCAATCCCAGCCATCCGGAGGGCACTGGCTAGTCATCTTGGTCCAGCCCACCATTTCTTTGAATCCTTTAGGTTGGCATAAAAACGGAAAACTAAATGGCTGTGGCAGTGCACGCTTATCATCCCAGCACTTGGGAGGCTGAGGCAGGAGGATCACCATGAGCCTGAAACCAGCCTGGGCTAGTCTTGTGGCCTCCTCTCCGGGGTCTGACCCGAACGGTGACAACCTGTTTCCCTGCAGAGGGCACCGTGGCGAATTTCAGCACCCGTAAATGGGACAATCATCCTCCCCCCCTGGCCAGCATATGAGGGCTTTCCTGATCTTTCCACGCGCCCACCCGCTCAAACGCCAGGGAAGAAATGTTCCCAGTCATTTTTATTTTAGAATACAAGAGGTACAAATGTATTTACAGGTGTACATATACAATCAAATAATATATATCACAGTTTTGTAAATATCATTTAGATAACTATGTACAAAGGTAAAGTGACCATTTTCTGGAAGTAGAACACAGTTTCCGGAAAACTCTATACACTTTATACTTCTTTAATTAATATTATAGTTTCTTTATCTTACAAAACCCCCGACGGGAATTCAGCTAAGTGGCTGCGAGGCGGGAGGCGACACCAGAGGGCGCCCGCGGCCGGAGCCGGGGGCCGCGGGGGACTCCGGGAGCCATCGCGCTCGGAGCAGCTCCCTGGGCCTCTGCGGGCTGTTCCTGGCCCCCCACAGTCCCCGACTCTCAAGGCTATGTCCTTGGGTCCCGCCTCTCTAGGCCTCCAACCCCAGGACGCAGAGACGCGCGCCCCCAGCCAGTCCCTGGGCGCACGGGCACCGAGAGGGAGATCGGGGATGCGGCCGGTCGTGGGGGACTCCTCCAAAAGGGGGGATCCGAGCCACCAAGCCACAGGATGGCGAAGAGCGCGTACCCCGGGGCTGGGGTTCCTTTCGGGACGGGGCGCGGCGCGGAGGTGCAGTGCGCAGCGCGGGCAACTGCACGCGGCTCTCACAGCACCAAGGCCGGCAGGTGGTGCGCGGCGGCGGCGGCGGCGGCGGCGGCGGCGGCGGCG